AGCAGTATGAGAAGAACTTGCATAAATCATCGTCAAACTTTCGGATTACTGTGGTGCGAGTTCGAAAGATTATCACGATAATGGGGGGAAGGGAGTTAGTGATCTCAAAAACACATTTTGGCAGTAGAGGCAGGTCAATTTTGTTTGAACTTTGAAGGCCTAGCGGATTGGCAGAGGAAGCTTAACTAAGATGGCGTGAGACAATTGATCTGTAATTACATCGTCCCCACGTGTCTCTTCGATTGTAGGAATCGACGTGATTTGAATTTTCCTTGAAAACAACAACCACTGACTCGACCTGCTTCATAATGCTTTCCATGCGGCCCGCATCGCGAAACGCTGAAGGCAATGCTCATCGACAGCCTTTCAAGACGCCTTCGCGGGCTTTGGCTGAAAATCGACTGGGTACTGTGAAAGGAAAAGGCAAAGCGGGTGCTGGGCAGACTCCGTTTCAATCCAAGACTCCATTCCAAAGTACTTGGAAATGCTCACTATATGATTTTCTACGTAAACTGATGCTGTCAATTTGTAGAACCGCTCTTCGTCGAAGCAGACATCCAGCTGAAAGGAGGTGTTCACATTCCAGCTCGTCCATTTCTAGACAAAACTCCCTTCCCAAATCGTATCGTTGATTCAAGCAATATCAATTTTCAACAAACTCCTTTCCTTAATCCACCTTCTGCATCTGGTACACCTGATTCTGCTTTAAGACCCAGCTCAACCAGGAGACATATCCGTGTCCCAAGGAACTCGCAAAAGTTTCAGACGCCTCTGAATACCAAGATTCATTGGAATGTGAACGATGATAGTGCTGATGGTATCTCGCTGGTGCTACCTCTACCTGAATCCGAGAAGGTTGCTGCTCTACCCGAAGACGATTTTGACGAGATTGAATACATGCCTCCTAATACTCTTGGTATGTTGATTATTATTCTAGTCGTTGCGAGAGGACTAACTTATTGGCCATTTTATCTAGATATACCATACCAGCCACCGTTCGATCTTGAAATGCCGGACTACAAGGTCCTTGGCAAAGCATTATTGGAGGCCTCGCGTAACGGCACGTTCTACGAACCAGAACCTCGAGTGGAATTCGAACTAAGTCCGGAGGTTATTGAAATGTGCGATGTTCATTTGGACTTCTCATTAATCCGTGAGTTTTCTGTTTGCTGTATCGAACCATGGATGATCACAACGCGGTCTTTTCTAGCGGATGAAGATCCATTCTTTGAAATGCCACGCAAGAAAGACGTCAATACATCGTTGTCGAAGTCGAAGCCAAGCTCAGGATTAGCGAACGCCCGTCCGATTCCGGTTCCTTCTAAGACTAACCTTGCATCCCGGGCGGGTGCCCCAGGGTTTCCGAGCTCAGGTTCACGATCGACGTTCGCAGTGAATAAAATTTCCCGACCAGGCACGTCAACTTCTGTGCGTCCGCTCTCAAGGCCTCTTTCCCAAGCAGCTGCGTTTTCCACGTCGAACTCTAAGACCACAGTTGTTCGGCCCATAACCCGAGTACCCTCAGTGGCGTCAAAATCAACGGTGTTGCCTAGGGACCAAACTCGACCAACCACCGCTACTGCCACAACTCTTTTTCGAAGTAAATCTACTACTGCAGCTTCGAGGTCTCATCCTGTGCATGCAGCCATTCGGTCTACTAGCTCTGCTGCAGTTTCTGTTTACAGCAAGCCTGGACCGAAGTCTACTGGAACAATTTTGGCCAACAAGCCTGCATCGACCATGATTCAGAGACCGGCGTCTTCAGTACGTCCTAAAGCAAATGGGTCTATAACGGCAGCGGCAACAAAGTCAGCTACTAACGCGAAGGAAGCGCCTCAGATTACGGAACTCGGCGGGAGTATTGTTTCGTTGGATGATGTAGAGGCAAACCTTGCCGATGATTTTATGTTTGATGTTTGAAAATTCTGGCGAGACGCAAAACTGTTCAATAATCTTGAAGGCAGCGAGAAGCCTCAGAGGTACTCGGAAAAATTGTATTTCTTTCGCTCTTTGTGTATATAATTATGTAACTTGATTTACCTCTATGATATTATCGACACCTGTCACTTTGAAAGTTTCATCGACCCATTTTTGATACGTGAAGTAAAGCCGACTTCGGGACAACAATTGCCTTTTTCGCACATAAGGTTCGTTGATCACTTCGCGCTTTTCTGGGATCAGTCCTTTCTCCTGACAACTCTCCAAGCCTGTATGACAAATCGGCAGCTCAAATTGGCTCAGAACGCTCAGAAAACGGTGACAAAATCAGCTGTGGATCCTCCTGTGGACCACATTGGTTGGAAACATCCAGCGGAGCTGATCTATAGCACAGGGACATATTGGACTAACAAGAAACTAATATACTACTGTATCGCGAATGCTCTTAGTGTCAACCCACCCTCTCTGACTATGCCTGGTGTCTGCTCTGTGTCCGGTGGGAAGAAGACGGTGGTATTGTCGGATAGGTATCGAATACCAATAATCTATGCTTCGCGATGGCAGTGGGCAAAGCTCAAGGAATTGATAACTGCAGCGGATGAGGAAAAAACTCTGAGATGGTCCGAAGCGAAATATGAGGTTCTTCACGTCGCTCGAGTGTGGAAGATTCTCACTGACGAAGGACCATCTACCGACACGGTGGACTGGTGCTATCCCAGCTTGAGAGAGCAGAGGCTGGAGGAGGTTAAAGAATGGAGATGTCATACACTTGACCGGGTTCTCACTAGATTTCGCATGGGCTGCTTCTCTTCAGAGCCATCGCGGGCGGAGAAGTTCTGGGAAGAGTACCAGGAGAGCGAATATTCAAAAGACGTATTGGAATTTGGTACGTTGATCCGCTTTCTTTTTCAATGGGTATGGCCAAACATCTTTGTAGATTGGCAGAACTGGCTTTTACAACCTCGAGACGGAGTTACTCTTTCCGAATCTGGTTACAGCAGTGGGCTTGACTCAGAGGTTCTCATGCGTGGCCTGGTAGAGAAAGACGGGGCTTGGATATGGGAGACAGCGTCTGATTCAATACCCGCTGGAACTCCTGCATGGTCTCTAAGGCAAATAGCAGGAAACTCCTTCAATCGACAAACGAAAACACAGGAATCCAAATCCGCTAGCGATGCCAGTTCATCGAAACCATTGTCAGCCGTTACTTCACGAGCTCGAAAATCCCAGAGCTCCGCTAGCGTTAATGCAAGTACCTCTTCATCTTCCCTTTCAACACCAATTTCCACTACACCTGTATCAGCTTTGTCGGATGTCTCTTCATCTCCTGTCAGACTGGTGGGGAGTAATCACACGTCTTCTGTAATAGTCTCAAACAAGGCTTCCTCCCCACAGAAGACTGGTGCTGCGACAAGCATTGACACAACAAAATCCATTGCTGGCAGCTCCAAGCTACTGTCACCGGTTCCGGCTGTAGAACTTCCTCTGAAAAGACGAAAAGGCGGAAGCAAACCCGCCACTGACTTGAACGACCCAACGGTATCAGGGCCATCTCGTCTACAGAGCAATGAAGACTCGGTATCTGTCGCGCTTCCGAAGAAGGCAAAGAGAAAACTAAAAACAAGAGCCTCGACTGTAATTGTATCTCCTAAGTCTGTGTCTACCCCAGACAGTCAGTCTGTGACTTCTTCCGCTCTACCAACATCTGTTGAGATACAAAAGCAAGTATCGAAAGCAGTCACCACGCGCGAGCTTTCATCACCTGCAGCTGTGAGCAGCACCGCGTCTTCCGCAAAAAAACCTACTGCTAGCATCAAATATCCTATTCTTGCATCTGATTCCCCAACTACTATTGTAAAAACTCAAACTCTTGATACCAGTGTACCTGAGCGCAAAACGACCAGAATACGGAAACGCGATGAAGCGACTGTGAGCTCGGGCCAGGTTCGAATGCTTCTTTCACCTTCGCCAATGGTCGTTGCTCCTGGGGGTGCCGTGAATTTGAAAGGGAACGAAGAAGACAAATCTAATTTTGATGCGAATGGGAAAGGCAAAGGGAGTTACTTAACGCGTTCACCTCCTCCAGTACTTTCGCCTCATGTTCTCCCTGCTATTCCCACGTCTATCTCTTGTCCTCCTGTCCCGTCGTCGTCGTCCAAAAGAATACACTCGAATTCTTCGACGGCTAATACAATTGATCTCTTCAAGAATGGCCCGTCCTCTTCTACTACACCAGCAGCATCAGCCATGGACCAAAGTCTCCCAATTAAGACAAAGAATCCGATCAACGTAGAGTGGCTTTCGCCAAACCCTTTGTCCTCCTTCTCCTCTGCAGTGTCTACAGGAATTAGCAACAGCGTCAACGATGTCATTGGGAACGGCGCCGATGTTGGATCTGAATCTACTATCGGCCGCGGACTCAAACGCAGTGGATCACCGCTCGAGAAATCTGGCCGTTCTAAACTTCGACAAGTTCGAAAAAATTCCGCTCGTCTTTTCCGATCCACACCGGAGACATTCACTGAGATCCCAGGAATATCAAACAACTCCTCGCCTGTGTCCCCGATTCCTACGACTACTCATGCACAGGGTGTATCGACTATCGAGTCTTCCGACGTAGATACGAAGTCGACGAGCATCTCAAGTCTTCTGACTAATTTCGCTACTATCGACAATACGAGTTCCTCTTTGCCATCGAGTTTGGATAACAGTGTGGCAAGTTCGAGTTGTACAAGTCATGCACCTGCTTCACATCGTCCTTTCATGCTTTCTATGCCTCTTGGACATCTCATACGGGATACAAGTAGATGTGGGTCCAGTGTAAGTGGTGCTGGAACTGGGGATATTGAGGACGGCCTTGTAAATAGCATCAGCTCGGATTCTAGCTTATCTCAACCTCATCTTAGTGTGTCGCCGTCTTCGTTCCTGCGTCATCCTCTCGCGCATCTATTAGGTGAACCTTTGATTTAACCCTATGGTTGTGTATTTTGTACCGATATATATTGTGGATAATTGAAATACTGTAACATGTCCGATCCCTAGTACAAAAAAACAAGAGTTAGTGGCCAACGTGGGGATCGAACCCAAGACCTTCGCGTTAATGAGTATTAGCACGACGCTCTAACCAACTGAGCTAGTCGGCCATTGAGTGCGCATGTTTGCTAGCCTACGTCTCTCTCTCAGCACTTTAGACCTCCAGCTCGCCGTTTCATTGACTCCATTGTGTGTTGGAAGGCCAGTCTAGTCGTTAGTACTGTCCTGCTTGCTCGTAACATCCGTCGGTGGAAATGTATAAACCCTGGAAGTACTACTAAATTTTGTGACCTGCGGGATTTTCATCATATTTGGTAACGCCCCTGGTTGGCAAGTTACAGAATTTTTTTTTCCCAAATGCCTCAAAAATGGCGATGCTCTTGTGTGATAATCTCGCGGAACCTCAGGGGTCTGTGAAAGTTTACACAGGAAAATGATTGGCTGAAAAAGTTAATAAGTAGAGGCTGTCGAATTACTATCCCGCAATTGCTGGCCATTCGAACAAAATCCTTTTCTTTGCTGGCCAAAGAATCAAGTCACATCTTCTCAACTTTTGTACATCATCACTCGACGTTGCCATTCCTCAACTGCCTCACCGTTTGACGTTTTCCCTCGACGTCGTCCCTTTAAGCATCTTCCTACTTCGATTCTGGTGTTCCCTGTCATGCGTTTCGCTTCTGTATACTATTTGGGACTTATTGGCCTACTCTCCCTTGTGGCACGTGCAATACCCATGAATGTCAGTAACCTTTGTTCCTTTCGCGAGCTCGCTAATACATTTTTTCTCTCTTTCTAGCAACAGCCTAGTCTGGTTTCCAGAGCATCACACACGTACATCTATAAAGATGTTGAATTTCTCAAGGAGCCTCCGCCAACCATGAGGAATCCTCCTTTGACCGGAGTTGATGATGCGGTCGTTTCAGTTTCGGAAGAAGCAAAAGATATACTGAAAAGCTTCTTGTCACGACATGCAGACGATGATCACGTTTATCAGGTTGCGCTCAAGAATGACTATCCCTTTAACCAATTGGGGGACATCATCTACTATTCTGCAAAGAGAAGATTTTTGATAGATCACAAGTTTCCCGATGTTTCTAAGGTATATGGGTGGGTGCTGTCGCATAAGGATGATCAAGGCAAATTCCATGGATTTGAACGCAGCCAGTTGCTACCTTTGCCATCCCCATCGGAAACGTATGTCCAGTGCACATCTCTATTTCTCTTTACACCTCGAGCTCATCACTTGTTAGGTGCATGACGTGCTTTGGGCCCCATACTGGCCCTCCTAGTATTTAGATTCCATGATGCTTGTGGTATTCCCTCGGGCCTCACTCAACAACCCACCTTCTGACTCAACGCACGGCTTCGGAAACACAGGATATCTACTTGACCGCATCCTATGCATATTGTGGCTTCAATTGAAATGGTTCTTCCGATGTTCATGTTTCGCGCGAATAGTAGAGGTTTGTGAATGTGTTCGAGCTGAGATCTGAGAACAAATGTATGAACGGCGGGTTTACTTGTTCTAACGCTTGCCGAAAGCAAGGTAAGGGTGAACAATTGGCGATGGTTTGACTCCCTGAAGAGGGCTGAATCGCTCGTAGTTACACATAGTCTGGATGGGGGCTGGAGGCAAGCTGATTGGAGGCCTGTGGAAATCACTCGCTAATCAAGCACTTACTACCAAGACTAACGAACGCGAACGCCGAACGCATCATATGTTGAATTGTTTAAGCCTCAAAGATCTCAGAGCCCGTCGCATCAGCCTGAGACGACGAAATCGCGCGCCTAAGCGGTTGATTTCATTGACTTGATTCAGATATGTTCCTGACTACTATATTTAGCAATATGAATATTTCTTGGCGCGATATATCCGCGCGGGATTTTTCGGAAACAGTTATTTATGGACTTTGGACAACATATAAATATCATCAGATTCGAACCGCCCTAGTTTCCCAACTTGCTGGTCCTAGTGATTTCTTTGCTGGTCAAAGAAAAAGAACGCTACTACTCTCTATTCTCGTAATCCTTACGACTCAACACCCCTCCCCAACAGTCTGCGCTACTGAAACCATCGCTCCTACTTCCCTTCGAGGTTTTGTTTTCACAGCAGAACCCAGAACCGAAAATTACACCACTCGACGCGTACCTTCCCTTTCCTTTCGAGTCACAGTTCTACAGCTTGACGACTTTGCAAGTGATTATAATGCGACTCATCATTCCCTCCTATTTGGTGATTCTCTTCTTTGGAGTTTTTGTCATCGTTCGTGCAACGCCTGTCATTGTGAGCACCAGATATCCTCAGCTATTCATTTAAACTCACTAGCCTCTCTCTCTCTTCTTTTTAATCAGTTACCACGCACGGAAGAGTCTACCTTATCTGCAACTATAACCATCACGTACACCAATGGTCAGAAGGAGGCTCCGCAGAATAATGCGATCGATGATGAGGTACAGGAGCGTACCAAGAAACTTCTCAGGCAGGAAATTCCCAAGGATTACCATGATGCCAAGATTTGGAATGTTTATAAGGACAAAGTCGATTATCACTTCGTCAATCACTATAAAGAAAAGCCGCGCGTTGTCGAGTTCCATGCGGAAGCAGAATATCAGGAGAATGGGAAGACGATCAAGACAATGACGTTTGCCAAAGCATGGATGTCATGGGGGAATATGCATGACGAAGTCATTGGCAATATTGGTAATTTTCGGGATTGGTGAACGGTTGTCCGTGGTGGTCAGTATGAACAAAGATGATTCTATCTTAAGTAATCGACACTGTATCTATGTATTTTTCTGTGCCACAGCTACGGTGCGATTGGGTTATGTGGGCAGTATGCCCTCGGGTCCTAACTGAGGATTCTTCTTGAGAACGCGGTCAGCTGTGATAGGGTGGGAGGGCCCCGTCGCTGTCTGACTCGCCCAGTTCGGACTGCAATTGGTGGTTAACGCGTCATGTTGGCAGTGTGACTTATGTTTGCCTTGTTGTAGAGATTTGGGCGCTTTAATTTCTGCAAGGGGGTGAGCAAACAATTGGTCGTTCTTCGCTCAGCGGATGGGCTACATGTTTGCATTTCCCTTACTATTGTGCTACGAATATGATACAATGGGTTGTGTGGTATCCCACTTTAGTCAATTTACATGAACGAGGGCAGTTATTTCCGGATCTTTCATTCCAATCTATCTGCGGAATCAAAATCCAGCCTCATCAGAGCTGGCCCCGCAAAGATACTCTCATCCAAGACATCTTTTGCGTTGTTGACGATAATGACAAAAGCGTCGCCCCGGACATTCTCTGGAATTCGAACCTGGATAGGCTTCTGCTCGTCTTGCAGGTCCACCGGAACAGTAAGCACACCGGCGTTGGATGTGAGGAAGATAGCGGACAGCGAGGAGGAAGAGGTTGAGTTCTTCGGAATTGTGAATGACAGCGAAGCTAGCTCATTTGGACGTGCAAGATTGGAAATGGTTAGAGGTGGGTAAGGCTTGGGTAGAGGAGAAATTTCGAGATCTTTTGATGGACATGATTCAATGTAGGGTGAGACAAGTGTAAGCATTTGGCCGCAATTTAGAGGTACCTAGTAACATAAACTCAGAAGGTAGCGGATTTGTAAAAACAAGTTGTACCACGTACTCCGAAAGCTCCGCTCCAGGCAGAGACTTTTCGTACTGAGGAATCGATCCAACCTGAATGGCGAGCTTCGATACCGAGAATGGCCCCACTTGCAGAGACGTATTGCTAGAACCAAGATGGTTAGTCGTACTAACAACAGAAACGGAGTATAGGTACTTCATCTGTGAGCATGGCAGAAGCCCCATGATAAGCCGCGGTTCCGATGGTCTCGAATTTGGATGCCAGCTCCACGAAGGACATTGGATCGTCGTATGGGCTGCAACAAGCTGGTTAGAGATTAGATAGAAAAGAGCGAGATTCCAGGCAATTAACAATGCGACGTACAAATTGTATGCACAACGCCCAATAGGATGTCCGCCAGCGTTGGCTACGGCGCTTCTCAGGTAATTTACATGTGTTTCTTCATGCTCGAGGATCTCCTGCAAGCGACCATATATCCAAGGCTCTAGGCCAGCATCGACGAAATTTTGCACGGAAAAGCGAGATAGTCCTTCGGTGTATAAAGCGCTTTCGAGGTGCTCGATGTATAGAGCACAATTCAGGATTTGAATATCTTCCTCTATGTATAGTCAGAGGAGGCGAGAAAGAATAATTGCAAACGAGTAGCGAACGAGCCAAATGAATAATGGTGAAGCAAATTTTCGACTTGAGAGACCTACCACTTCCAGTTTCACCTGTAGATAAGCTGTCCGCAGCAATCAAAGTTGTGAGAAAGAGCTGCAGGACCAAGAGAGTGAAGATTGGGAATATCTGCCGAGTCATAAAGAATTCGTGGAAGTGTTCCGTGGATTAGAAAAGAATAATTTGTTGAGTTGCAGTAGCGTAGAGTAGCGTCGAGCGGCGTCGTTATTTGTGACTGATTGAGTGAATTTGGGGATGTGATATAGTGGTAGAGAAGAGTAAGTGTTTTTTTTTGAAGTTTTTACCATCGTATGTTCGAATTAGGAAGAACTATTGCTACTTCAGGAAACGGTTTACCCAGTGCTCCTAACCTAGGGTTACATTTTAAGGGCTTGCAGTCGGCCTTTATCAGCTATTCTATTTTGTGTCTACAGTGTACACCGAACCTTGCTACAAAGCAATGTTAAATCACCCTCAGAGTTGTCACTATCTGGCGTAGTATCGCTAGTAACTAAGGTGTTGAGAGTAGAACATCGGGGATACGTCGTTGGGAGGGGGCTCTATGGAAAGAGCCCCGATCGGCGTATGTGGCAGTGGTCGTCCATATGGACGACGGTCATAAAATTCCTTACCTGTACCTTCGCGTTTCACTTACTTTGCTCCCGCTTTTGAGGTCCGGGTCGCATTACTTAAACCTGAAAAACTCCCGACCCATCCCTCAGTCGTTTGCACAAGTCAGTGCGCTTCCGAGTCTTGTTTATATTATACTTATTGACATTTGAGCTAACTTATGTTGAAACAGCAATCAGTTACGACGGTTGATGTGAATGCTTACTGAGTGTTGAGGACTGTAGA